TCTCTAGTTTAATACATTTACTAGGAAATGTAATTATGTTCTTTCTATTTATCATTGAGAAATAACCCATTGTGTATATGTACCATATTGTCTTTCTCCATTTATCTGTTGAAGGGTGCTTAGGCTGGTTCCATATTTTAGCTCTTGTGAATTAAAATACTAAAATATTGATGTGGCTGCATCACTGTAGTATGCTGACTTTAAGTCCTTGAGTATAAAACAAGGAGTGGGATAGCTGGGTCAAACAGTTTGTCCATTCTAAGTTTTCTGAGGAATCTCTATAGTGCTTTCCAGAGTGCTTACACCAAGTTGCAGTCAAACCAGCAATGAATGAGTGTACTGTTTTCCCACAACCTCACCAACATTTACTGTTGATTGTATTCTGGATAATTGCCATTCAAACTACAGTAAGATTGAATCTCAGTGTGGTTTTAATTTACATTTCTCTAACTATTAGAGATGTTAAGTTATTTTTTCATAATGTTGAAAATTCTGGATCCCAAGATAGGTAACGAGTGACATTCTAGGACTTAGAAACTTCCATACTTAACAATGTAACTCACCTCATAGTACTTTGGTATTTTTCAACTCCAACACAATTTGTAATTGAATATAGACAGGATTAAAAATCAAGCATTATGTTTTTTCCTCTCATAAGATAAATAGTTTACTTTGTGGAATCTAATATTTTTCGTATTTATGAAAGTGATAGTATAGATATTGGGGTATATAACTGCATTTGTAATTAATAGATTATTTTAAAATAAATTATACATGGGATTTGTGTATTATCAAATGATTCAAATTTATAAGTTTAATACATTAAATTTTAATTATTATTTTCTCCTATCTTTCTTCTTTCCTTCATTTATCTACTTGTGAAAAATAGGCAATATAGGTCCCTTTGTGATTTTCTTTAGGTTTAATGAAAATTTATTTCTCCACCTTCACATGGTTCTCTCAACTTTAATGACTGTTAATTTACTGTAGATTCTTCCTTTCCACAAGCCAAACTCCACTTGCCCTTCAATTCAGAAAGAGGAAGACAATAATGTTTTCTCTATTTCACTACAAATCAGGAAATTTAATTCACTTCTTCATGAGTGTGCCCCAATGCACCAGCAATACAGTTTTCCTTGATTATTCTTTGCTCTAATTTAATCTCCAAATATAAACCCAGAATATTTAAACTCTTTACATGAAGCAACGTGAAACAAATTGTATAAAATGATGAATGTTTTGGAAAGAAAATTGCACATAGAAAATAAGCACATGATATAAGAACTAGAAACTGGAGCAATCACTCTGGAAAGCAGTATGGAGATTCCTTAGCAAACATGGATTAGAACCACCTATTTATCCCACTCCTTGACATATACCAAATGATGTAAAATCAGCATTCTAAAGTGATACAGCCAAATCAAAGTTTATAGCAGCTCACTACTCAATAGCCAAGTTATGGAACAAACTCAGCTGCCTTTCAACAGATCAATGGGAAAAGAAAATGTGGTACACATACACCATGGACTATTACTCATCAATAAAGAGAAATGAAATTATAGTATTTTGGGGCAAATGGATGGAACTGGAGACTATCATTATAAGTGAAATCATCTCATACCCAAAAGGCAAAGGCTGAATTTTTCTCTATGATATGTGGATGTTAACCCATAGCAAAGGAGATTAAAGAGATAAAGTATTGAAGTTCAGTGGATTAGACAAAAGGGGAATGAAGGAAAGAATAGGTGAGAATAGGAAAGACAATAAAATAATAGAATGAAACAGACATAACTTCCCTGTGTTTATATATTAATAAACAATAAGTGTAACTTCACATCATATTCAACCACAATAATTGGATCAAAATTGTAATGGATTGTACCTTTTATATGTATAATATGTCAAAATATACCCTAAAGTCATGTATATATATAAACAACAAATTAAAAAAGCACATGAAATAACATTAAATCTCATCTATCACGAGTGTGCATATTGAATTAGTAATGAAATGAGCTACATGTCAATGAAAGGGTTTACATATTTCACAAAGACAGTGACATTAAACTAAACCTATACTGAAACTGTTTGTTCATTGTGAATCCAGGTGCCTGAAGGTGATATGGAAATCACAAGGAATGATGACTTATTTTCTGTTAGCATGAACTCACCCATTCACTAAAACCAATCTGTGGACTACTGCAAGGATGCATACAAACACTGGTTATTAATAAGACTAACCACTTAAATGAGGATATTATCTAGCCATAATAATTTCTTTCCTCATTAATTTAAACACAATTGCAAGTTCTAAGATTACTAATCTGGAAGTCTTTAAATGCAGACTATTTTTTCAGCCAGACTTGATATTATGACAAAAGTAAAAAACCCATTTTATTGTTATGTTCTATGGCTTTCAAATACTGAAATTTGATATTGTATGAAAAAATTGTTATACAGAGAAAGAAAATTTATCTTTAACACTATTCGGGTTTACTACTTCCACTTAAAGTAGAACATCTTAATACTATTATTTGTGTAGTTTACATTAGTCTAAGATTAAGGAGTTTAAAAAGAAAATAAATAATCCAGGAGTGGTGGCACATGCCTC